ATATATATATATATATATATATATATATTTTTTTAAGTGGCATTTTCAGTCTACTAGTTTCAACTACAAAAAAAAAATCAGACCCATCACTTCTAAAATTGTTAAGTTCTACTAATTCTATTAACAGATTACATGAATGTGTCTTTGCTTAGACTACCGGCTGTCACATACACAAAATAATTTCATTGCTTTTGTTTCTTCTTTATTCAACATCAAATACTTTAAATTGGGAGGGGTTGTTTTTAAATGTTTTTTCTTGTTTTATCTAAATACAGTCTGAAACATTTAAATAGGTAAAAAGGTTGTTCATCCTTTTCTAACAAATAATAAGTACATTTTAAACGTGTGCTAAGATAATTAATCATTTAAATATGTATAGATAGTACCTATGTGGTTTATTATGAGTCTTGGAGTATGATACAGAAAACCCATCCTGTAATTGACAGTTTAGGCCATTTTTGTAATAAAGCTTTATGTTTTATAAATATCCCCATCTCTTAAAACTCTATTAATTTTAATTTGTAATGTAATGTACATACACCAACTGCAGAAGCAGTTTAGGATAGGGAAAGTTTGGGGGATATTTTAGGAAAGGGAAGGGTTTTTTTTTTAAACAATACAGTATATACTATTTCTTGAAAAACATACAGCCTTGAAGAAGCAACAACAGTATGCTATACTTGATCTGTCACACTGAATAGACAACTCAAACCCTTCTCACTCAAATAACTACATATTTAGAAGGTAGGTTTTCTTCACTTTTAATTCAAAAAACTTGGTTTTGTATATTCCTAAGTGGTCTTCACATCATTATCTGCGTCATAGCACTAAGGCATATAAATACTATTTCCCTGAAATGTGTTTTAGAGAATATAGACATGTCAATCTCAAATACAAATTCATGTCAACTCAATAAATTTCCTCTAGTTTCGAGTTTCTTTTTTTTCCTAAAAGAAAACAAATGTTTGAGTCAGCTTATACAGCTCTGGTTTTCTATGAGAGACAAATCAAACCTGATGATTTGAATGCAAACAAACAAACAAAAATAAGCCTTTCTATTCATTTATTAGCCACCACAATTTAACTTTCATTTACTTGTGTAACACAGAATTATGAAATCTACATAAAGTATGCAACTCCTCAGCCTTGGTAATTGCAGTGGAACTCAGCAAGAATTATGGTCAATAGGTCTGTGTGACTGGGTTCAAACAATCTCTTGTCAAATGAAACAAACAAGAAAGGGAAAAAAGAACGACTCCTCTAAATTAATTATTTTTAAATTGAAAATAAATCATGCAAATACTTTAAGTTTGAAAAAAGTATATTAATTTCATTAAAACAAAATACCAGCTTCAAGTATCTGAAAGTTCATTCTACAATTAAATATATTCAGGATGTTCTAACATGTAATAGAAAAATTAACAGTTGGTAGGTCTAAAGGACTAAACTGCAACCAAGATTGTACTAACATAAAAATAGACGCTCTTAATGAAAGTATAAGCAGCAACATTAACAAGTGCTTTTAATCAACAGGTGGTTAGATTTGCAGAAAACATGAACTCTGTTAACAACTACAAAATTGTATGGCTAGTGAAAACAGGACAGAAAACTTACCAGTTATCAAACCCGAGGTGACAGTAGTATGAAAAGAACATATTATGCAACTAGGTAAGGTTCTTACACAGGTGCTTAATCAGGCATATGCTTAACACCACTGGCATTTTGCTCAAGTGATTAAAATTAGGTATTTGATTACATAGCCTATTCAATCAGAAACTAAATCTTAGGTATACAAACTACTAACATGTTATTTACATTTTTCTACAGTCTCACATTTTAATGAGATTATCTGGTTTCTTGAAAAGCTCTTTCTTCAGTAGAGCATTTTGGGAAATTATGCACAAGTGTTTCCTACAAGGAATGTATGACAGAGATTTAGTAAATTAAAATTTTGTGTTTGAGACTACTTGGTCACAATTAATAAATCTGAAAAATTAGGTTTTCTTAGAGAAACCTTTCATGACTTCCCTTTCTGTTTCTCAGAGTCAAGGTGACTGTATCTATAGACAAAATTAAATCCATTCCAGTTGTATTTGAAAATAATTTACATCCTAAGAGACAGAAAGATAGGACTAAGTGGGATTATTACTTCCTGGATCCACCTCTCTGACAATTATCTGATCTCTCTTGTGCTTAGCACTCACTCTTCCTTTTAATCTCCCACTTTCCTATATTTTCCCTTCACTACACAAGACAAACCTGCTTAGGGTCTTAAATACCACCAAGCCCCATACAGATACCCCTAATAAATCACCTCTCCTCTCTGGTCACTGCTCTTTCTCCCTCCCATGACTCAGCAGTTTAGAGCAGCTGTTTTGCAGTTCCACCCTCAGCTCCCTCCAGTTTCGCTCCTTCACTTCATACCCCACAGCATCTGCTCTTAAAGGCCTTCCTATAGTCCAGCACTTGTAACCCACACTCACACTCCCTCCTCAGGTGGCTGGCTGGCCACCTTGGACACACCCAACCATGCTGCTCTTGCTGATCTTCCTCAGCTCTGTGTCCCTAGGCTCACCTCCTGCTTCTCCAGGCATCTTCATCAAGGCAATAAGATATGCTGCCTCTCTGATTTTCTGCAGCTTTATTTGCCACTTGCTATCAGAAGACTATCTAGACCCACATGGTACATGTTCAGTTTTCAAACCTTCATACCATCCTCTAACATTATCCCTCCAGTTTGGACAGGTCACCTCATAAATACATCTAGTGATTCCAAGATAAGAACAAAAAAGAAAGCTCATTTCCTGACTGTACTTAAACCCCCACTGAATCCATTTAGACAGCTAGTAGACTATCAAGCCTAACATAACTAACCTAACACAGCAGTGAGACTGGTGTTGCAGTAACCCTATGTACACATTTGCATCTATTTTTAAAATGCTTGGTTGTGCTGACTTCTCTATGCCCACAACTAGGGTCGACTTCGAAGCTGCACAGGTCATATGATTGCAGACACACCTTAGCACAGTCTAATAAGTTACTGCTCATCTGTCAAACAACAGCAACTCTCTTTATGGCTGCTTTGAGAATACCACACATGCAAGTTCAAATGTGATGGTGACCATGGTTACTAACAGTGAGCAGCAGGTTATTAAGCTTTGCAATCATACCCTCCATACCCAAGGAGTTACTAAGACAGTGATCCGAGCTACAAGTATGCCACATTAAGTCCGTGGATGTCATGGCTTTGAGCTGAGGAGCTGTAGGAAATTCAAGGGTTAAGTAGTACTCAAGTTCTTTTTGCCCTTTTAAAGTTATCTGTAGGTGGTTTTGTTGGTTTTGTTTTGCTTTTGAAGTCATTTGCAGCAGGAGACCTACAACTATGAAAGCAGCAATTGCCTTTGTTTTCTGGGTGATTCAAATGAAAATGGAGAAAGGGAATTAGGAATTATCATGTGATCTTCCCAAGAGTACAAGTAAGTCAGAAATGAAACAGGGAAAGCAAATAAGACTGCAACAGATCCCTGTCAGTCAACGCTAAAACTTTCTTGCAGAGCTGCTAGCACACAGAATTGAGAAGTTTCAGAGTCTGACTATATAGCACTATAGCCCATTTACAATAGCTCGAGGATCAGAATCCAGAAGTCAGCACTGCAGTAAGTATAACATATTTGGAGCAGTAAGAATTTAAACCTTACTGCAGATTAAGAATTGCATTTTTTTTCCAGAAAGGGAATAGGCAACTATCTCCAACTGTTACTGCAACTATCTTCAGAAGATGACAGATGGTTAAAAATATGGTCTTTAATAAAAGTGAATTCTGAATTTTACCTGCTATTTGCACTCAGCGTTCCACAGAGCAAATTCTTTCAGCTGCACACAGATGAAGGCTTGACAATGTACAACAAAATCATGAACTTAACAGGCAATGCATTTTGTGGACTTACCAAACTAGAGTGGGATCAAGGAACACCAGAAAAGCTAGGGACACAGACCTTGAGAAAGGCAAGGTAAAAGCCAGGTGACAATACCACAGATATTGAGAACAAAATTCAAAGTGAGTATCAGGGCTTTCAGACACCATGCTTGGGCCACAGGCATTAGAGTGTCAGTCTGAGCCCAGTCATTCTGTGAAGAGGTATTTCAAGCTACCATCCTAGGTGACAGACACCATTCTCAAAAATACAGTGTCAGGTGTAAGCATGTCCATACAAAACAGCACCAATATTTCCTCACCTTTACGAAGGCCACACAGACAGGACTAGCCTAACCTAGCTCACAGCTGGACTCAGCAGCTAATATGTTTGTCTTCCTCACCCCATCTTCAGAAGGATGGAAAAAAGGCACATATGAACTAAAAGTATAACACTAGAAGTAAACTCCATCCTCTGAGAAATGAGCATTCAGGAAACACAAATTCAAACCTAATATCAATATGACTAAAAAGCTAGGAAAGAATCAGGCATCTGGTAGGCTGTTCCAGATAGAAAAACAAAGTATGTACTGGTATTTCTTGTTTATGCAGAAGTCCTGTTCTGGAAACAAAAAGACGAATAAATCATCAAAAGAATATTTCAGTGCTCAGAGCCCTAAAGAAGCTGTTCAGACACCAACTGACTTTCATCCTTCTTCTCTAAGCCTTCCAATGGGACCACACAAATGAGCAGCAGCTCAGGGCACACCACCCTCCCCAAAACAAATTGCTTCTCCCCACTGTCCATACCTACTGCCATCAGAGCCAGTAGTTAGCAAACTCCTTAGTAGACAAAGCACAGTCTTGAGCAGATCTGTATTTGCCTTTGCTTTCAGCAGTCTCATACTTGCAGATGTTCCATTTGTTTCCCACAATTGTCCGTATATAGCCACTGCTGTTTTAGTTCAACCTATCACAGCTGCATTATAAAAAAAAATTCATTAACTTGCATTC